CTTATGCTTTAACAACAATTATTATTTTCAAACCTTAAACATATTGCGATGCATACAGCGAGAACTTTAAACAAGGGATGAAATGAAAGGAGCGGTAAGAATACTGTAAATTGAAAGTAAGCAATAGGAGGTGGCGAACGCTTTATGTGTAAACAGCAGACAGCATCCTGGTTAAGGAAGGAGTACCATTGACAAGATCGTTTAATGCAACTTATCGTAAGACGTCCACCTGAGATGACGGCCCGATAGATAGGGTTAAAGCTTTAATACTTGACTGCCGTAGTTGTTAGCTCCCACACTGTACAAAACGGACTGCTCGAGTAAAACTTTAATGCAGGACGCCCAATAAGGTGCCCATCCATCCGTCATGGAAATCGTGGTTCCGGAGAAGCAGAAAGAACGTACGGTGGAAGCAATATGATGGAATTAAAGCCTATTTTGTGACGAATTCCAATTTAGATTTAGACCCGAGTAGAGGATCTATTGACGTCCTGGAGATTGTGAGCGATTGAGGTGTGTTCAGCAAGTTTATCCCTGCACTGGGTCAATAGGCTTGGGTGAACTTATTTTCATTAATGGCAACTTAGACACAGATTTCTGCGACCTCATGTTCTTCCCATTTTACAGAGTATCGGCACAGATTTCACCACCACCTGGTGAAGGACAAACCAGCTGGTGGCCATACAGCCAGCAGGAATGAAATCAGGAATGGTTCATACAGGAGAACGTCGCAGTTTTGTCGTAGCCTTCTCAATCGGTGGACTTAAACACGATTTAGCACGCGTGGGATATGCTTCAGAGAAATATTTTGAAAGACCTGTGTGGTAGTGTATCCACAACCCAACATCTGCAAGAACTATTGAAATTTAATTGAGAGCTATTACCGTACGATGAGATTATGTCATAGATTTGATAAAGCCGGCAATGGTATACTCCCTATAAAGAAATGTTATTTATGAATTTTTGCCAATTTGTTGCTCGTATTTTTTCTTGATTAAAATTTTTATTAATATGTAGTTGTAATTTATTAATAATTACATTTATAAATAATTACTTAATTGTCTGATAACCAAAAACATCGTTGCGTCGAAATATTTTTGGTGATGCTTAGAGTTATTTGATGTGTCATAATTAGATCTTGGAGTAAAATTCTCGACAGTACAGTCGAATCCGAATCTACTATTTTAGCAGTTATGGTACATGAAATCATTTACTTGAATAAAATTAAATGTATCGACCATAAATAAATATATTGGCACAAATCGATTGCGAAAATCACATTCCCAGTCCGAGACTGCAAAGTTCGCGCTTTACAGCGAAACAATATAACCGTTACCGTTTTCTCGAAACCTCATTAAAAGCCGAGTACGGTAGAAGTGTTTGCGGAAATACATATTTATCCGAATCCGAACGGCGTGGAGGAGAGAAAAAAACGAGTGAGTTTTCACCGCGAGCTCGGATACAGACGTCAAAGCTGCAACACGTGTCCAGTTTGCGAACGCTGCGGTGGCGGGTCGGCGTCTTTCCTGGAAGCGGTCAACGGATACTTTTTGCGATCTTTCCACGCAAATTGCTTGCGAGAAACGCGAAACTCATCATGTTAATCTAATTAAATCTACTCAATTAACTCCGTGGTATTAAATTAATGTCAGCGATATGCGCGATGAGTAATGATGGGTTTTTGAATTCGCTCGTCTTTTTGCTAGACACTTACCTAGTCGGGTATCGTGAGCGAATTCCGCGGTGTTATATCGTCATTCCTTTTTTTCAAAGTTTGATTATTTCTTCATGCTTTGGATTTTCATAATTAAGAATGTAGTTTATATTAATTATGCGAGAAAAGACTTTTGGTATAGGTGTTTATTACAGTCAGAATTTGACGGATAATGCTAGAAAATCTTGAAATTTTAAATTCAAGTTTAATAAAAGATAAAGAAAAGGAAAAGTATTTAAAACATAAAAACCGGCAAGTCCGTCAAACATCTGCAAGAGTTAATAAACAGGCTTTAAATTCTGGATTGTAATGAAACAAGTTAATAGACATTCCGATGATTTTAAATAAATGAATGAAGCGATTCCGGACGCCAATAACGAGAACAACCCAAGAGCCATCTATGTTTTAGAACGCGAATTGGCCGTATTGGATTCTTCGTGGAACCAGTAACCCCATTTCGACCGCTTTTTACCGCTGCCCGTGGACGATGTCGTACTGTTCGCTGCAAACTGCCCCGACAACGAAAGGGCGCAAGCGGAAAACTGTTATTGATATACCGTTCGCAATCTAAACACGAGCAGGCCTTCTAAGCCTAAGATCTCTATCCCGACCGGGGTGGCAAATCGCCTTTTTTTCAACGTCGCTAACTGTCTCGGCGATGCTGGAATTTATATCGCGGCGAAATGCCACCGCCGTAAAAACTGGATTCCGTTTAATTATGTACGATTTTTGAAATCTGTGAACAATGCGAACGATCCTTTGTGCTCGCGAAGTCGCTTTTTACTCAACCGATGAAACTAATTTGATAATTTCTTATTGAGATACAACCGATTCCTTGAACGGACGATAACGTTGTATGATGAATTGCAAAGTGCGCGGGGACTTCAGGGAACCGACCCAGCGGAGGCAGTGGCGGACGTTAAATTAATTAAATGGCGAACGACGATTGGCTCATTAGGTTTGTGCTTTTGTGTGCGTTTTTAATTATTGCTTCGACTATTTATATATATATATATATATATTTCACTTTATCGAAGTTTTTGCTTAAAGCCGTTCCGACTGTGCAAAATTGATCGCATCGGTCAAAGGGTCAGCGGTAATGTGGCTTGCCGCGGAATGAATTATAAAACTACTTGCTATAAAATATGTACGAGGTATGCATAAAATAAAATAAAATAATACATGGTATGCATAAAATAATTGTCTTTGAAAAGGGTAAGAACTTATGTTTTACATAAGATGAAATTAATAGTATCTTTTTTTTTATATATATCGATGTGTTTATGATTTTGACAATGAATTAAAGAAACTAACGTGTAAAACAATGTTGTTGTACTTAGGTTTTAAGTTGGTCGAGTCACAAAGTAATTTTTACTAATATTAATAAAGATAACTGAAAGATCAAAATATCTCATTTTTTTAATATTTACGTCTTCTATAATGCTTGCAAATACGTTTATATATTAAGGTGGGACAGGATGGAGGGCCTGGAATTCTTTCGGCATTGATTGCTCATGACGCATTTCTCTTTTGAAAATCGGTATTTTTACTTAAACAGTATTTAAGGTCAAATTGAAGTCTGATTTTATTCCCCATCCTCCAGGAAATCCTCAAGCAAGAAATAGCTCAAAGGAACAATGAACACTGATTAACTGCGTCGTAATAATGTATGACGTTGCACATATTATACAATTCAAACAATAAAATTCAAACAATAAAATAAACACCATAAAGGCTTTTATTTTATGTGTAAAATTTCCCTACGGGCTAAAAATATATTATATTTTTGTTCTTTAACTTTATCAACCTATCCGAAACATTCTTTAAATAGAAAAAGACAAGCAGATGCATTTGTAAGACAGCAGATGCTAACTGTACATTCGTAATGTGCATTTCTGTTTGTTCTTTATCTTATTTGGTTCTTTTATTTTAAAAAAGTGTGTTTACGGTGGTAGGGCCATGCAGCAGCCTCGGGTGTTGCACGAATGGGCAGGCTCGTCCGGGTAAGTACCACGACCTCACAGAAGACCGGCGTAAAGTGGAAGTATAATACTTTCGCGTTTCGTGTGGTGAGTGAGGTGGCCGGAGCCCAATTTTCAATAGGTCAATGCACCTGCAACCCTCGGCTGTAGCAGATGTCTATGGGCGGCGATATTCACTTTACATCAGGTGAATCGTCTGCTCGCTTAACAAATTTTCACAAAAAAAAAAGAGTCCGCCGTGTTTTACTTTAACACATGTATAATAAGTTGAAAATAAGTTCAGGTAAAATTCGTTAATAGAACTATATACTTCTGAGCATTGTCCGGACTGACGATTTGATCGCGTTATGATGACGCATCTGAGTTTAAGTTTTACCTCCATGAAATTCATACAATTCTTACCTATTGTTATATCACGTGTTCAGCGATCAATCAATACAGAGGGTACTATACAAAGTTATGCGTGTACTTCTAAGTAAATATTAACAATGAACGAATTAGTAATTAATTTTCACAAAATGCCAAAATTTTCCATCAACCAAACGCAAACAAAATAAAAACAGGAGCCAGGACAGAAAATTTATTTGCTAATTTTAGTGTTTTTTGACTTACTTGATAAGGTTGTTTTAAATTTCTTTAAATACTCCATGACTTTTAAATACAATATTTCATTGAAACTCAGATTTATGACTTAATTTTACATTGAATCCTATTCAAGTGTGTGTTTTTTAATCGATTAGCATATATTTGGTTTACAAACAATAATTTTAGATAAGTTCCTTCAATCTCATTGGGTTTATGCTAAATTCATTAAAGTAGATAATAAGGCAATGCTTTTAAATTCATTATACATGAATCGCTTTGAATGTTTCCTTAAAATTTTCAGGTAACCGGTATAGGTGTTAGGTGTCTGTCTTTTAATCTCCTATAATGATCCGATGTAAATTCGCTATCCGATAGTTTCCAGTGGGAACAACTAAATATAATCATTGCAAGTGGTGTCTGGCTCACCACCTGTCATATGTGAGTCTAATAGGCCCCTAAAATACGCTGTCTGTACGATATGCTATTTCGTTTCAAAATAAAAGCAGCAATTTGATTTAATATATAATATGACGCGTGCATTTTCATAAATCCTCTCACGGCGTTTCCACGTGATAATACTTATAAAAACTAAAGCAGAAAATAAATACATTTTTACGGACCGCACTTCAAGCAAGTATTATTTGGCACGTAGGCATTTTGAATGTAAAATAATTGCGGCTCCGCGCTAATATTACACTAACAATATTACGCCCGTGTTAGCGCCGCAGCGGCTGAACGGATACAGATGGAACTGAGAACTTCGCTACACGCGATCGACGGACCGTCTCCGCGGTTACACACGATTCCGGGGACGCGTAGTCGAAGTCGTGGACTCGTCTCGCCGTCGCTGCGGGCGGCGTCACCGGACCCGATACAGCGAGATTTATGGTCACCGTCGACGCTAAAAGGCTCGCCACGGAGTCGCCGGACGATAAGCGCCCACCGTAATTGTCGGACACGCGGCCACCGGCACGCCGCCCGGCTCCGCCCGCGTTGGTGCGACCGGGAGGCTGAAAGTCGCCGTTCTAGTAGTTTGTTTTTTTGAAGTGAAACTTCTAATGCGACCTCCAACAAGGTTGCGTTGAATGTTTCACGTTACCATGGAGGGGGTACGAAAGCACTGTTGCGTTGAACGTTCAACAGATAGCCATAGCACTCGAAGTTTCACTTCCTCCGCGCGGAGGGACTTCACGTATTTTTTTAAAGCGACTGCCCAGTGCTTTAATGCTCCACATGGTAAACACACGGGCTCAGTAAAATCTACAGTCTTGCTATTCGGCCTTGACTCATTCACCCATAGTAATGGACGTTGATTGCATTTGAAGTAAACGATTTGTTGTATTGGGAATTTAAATCGGATATCTAAAGCATGTTGTAGAAGTGACATGTGGAAAATAGGTGAAAAGTTTGGGGAAAATTCTATATTGTGTCACGAATAAATGTTAATATGTTTTCTAGCCGTTTTAAAACTGCTTTTAACTTCTTAGCTTAGTTCCGTATATAACGTGAAACCCATCTTAAACACATATAAACACGTATATTACGTGAACCGTTATTTCTCTATTAGTTATATTCTCTTATAGTCTATAGTGGTCCTTATATAAGTTCCAAAGAATTATAGACCTGAAATCAGAATGATTTGATTGAAATTAGATATGATGTTTTGTTGGCAATGTTATATAGAATTAGTGATAAATATTATTTAAGTCTAGCTGAATTTAAATAATTAACTTAACATGATTGTGTCCGGACTGTCGAGCATCGATCCGTGGTCAAGCTTGCACCAATAACTGGCAGTTTTCCTTACCGCAAACTGGTACCTATTAGACGGACATAAAGTAGATGAGGTAGTTATATCTTGACTTTTTTAAACATCAGTTGATCTTCAGCGTGCGTAGCTTCGTCTCTTAAACATTTTACTCTGTCGTTTTGCTATGAAGTCAGAAGCTCTCCACAGCGAGCATACTTCTAAAACATTTAACAAATAATGAGTTTAGGAAGTGCATTCTGCAGTTGCAACATCCTGCATTTCTTACGTTTCTTAGTTTTGCTTTTCATGTTCTGGAATTGAGTACAGCAATTCCATGGACAATTTAATGAGTAAGTTCGTAGGCAGCAGCACTATAAAAAATCCATGCATGTAAATAAATAAATACATATTAGCTCAGTAACTGAGTTGAAATCCCGGTGCTAACACCAAGGAAATTGTAAATTTAAGTGCTGAATTTTCATGTGCTCGGCGGTGAAACACAACATCGTAGGTAAACCTGCATGTTTTCGAAGTAACAACAAAAAAATTATAGAAGATGTGTACAGTGGGGTCCCGTGGTGGACTAATACCTTTTGTACAGAGGGACTTGTATAGGCTGTTACTTTTCTTTACTCATACTGCGATTTTTATTCGTAGGGTTGGGATGGGAATTAAAAGTTAAATACTACGGATGAGACACAGACTACAAACACCAACCATTTCTTCAATGTTCATATTTATATTTCTACTACCACAAGCAGCAGTAACTTTTCTTTTATTACAACGAGTAGTACAAGAAAAGCTGCAGACTTTACATTATAAATGTCCCACAGTATATTATATCCAGGGGCCTTTTCCCTGTAGAGACATAATCCGACATGCAAACCCCAATGCGGATTGGAGACTTCACACACCTTCGAAATATTTTTATGTTATTATTATGATAACCACTGCCCATGGACACTTGCAAAACACGTAGGGTTGCAGATGCGTTTGCCATTGTTACCTCACTCACCAGACGAAACACAGAAGAAGAAGAAACTATTCACACTCACGCTGATCTTCTTTGAGATCGTGGTACTAAACCGGACGGACCTGCCTATTAGTGCAACAGTGAAGACTGTTGCATGGCTCCACCAAAGTTAAAAGCTAGCGCCCGGATACTGAGCTAATGTGGATATTTTTGTTAATTTGCTAAAAAAAATAATTATTAAGATTTTTTTATAGTGCTGCTTACGAACTTATAAAATTATCCATGGAAATGAGTACAGAAAGCAAAACTCTTAGTGGCCAACATATGATCGTCGAGGTCATAAAACAAACGATAAATTAGTCGTTTCGTGTACGCGTCGCGTGCTAGCGCGGCCGACGTGGACCCCTAGGCATTCCAACCGGCATACCTCCACTTCCACCGGCCGGACCGCCTTTATCTGCGGCGCCTTCGACAAATTACACCGGCTCCAAAAAGGCAACGAGTTTATCAAGGCACGTTAGAGCCCGTGTTAGCTGTTTGCTCGTCGTTTCTTTTAATTTCGCCCGTGGAGTTTTTGTCAAGTCCTCATTTTAGGCTTTATCTCGGCCGGTATGCCCGCGGGCCCCCGCTCCGCCACATATTTATTCCCTTCGGACTTTTTGTCACGCTTAGTCCCCGCCGTGAGTGCGGCGGACAGATTACGAAGGGTCGCGTTCCACGTCCATTGTTTCGCAGATGTGGAGTGACGAAGACTTGATAGTTTGTAATTTTATTTGTTTACAAATTTACAGAAGCTTTGAAATCTAGTAAGTAAGCGCTACTGTACAAAGAAGTATTTAGAGACTATTATCATATCAAATTATATCATGATATATTTGAACACATGAAAAGTGCGGGAGATCTTATAGAGTGGTAATATATGCCCATAAAGTTATAATCTAGATAGGTATATTTGGTAGGATTACTGAGATCTGCTTTATTGGGTTTTGTAGCCAAATTGCGTAATAATCATTGAAATATCGCTTTAGTGTACGCCCCTAATTATTTTCCTTACTTATCTTTGGTCATGTTTTAGACATTTTAATGCCGCATCGCGAAGTGTGCGATTGAATGTTAACATTTATTTTTATCATCTCAATAATAAAAGCTTTTTATGTATGTGCATTACAAAAAAAGTTACTTTCCTTATACCTGGCTAGTTAATAATGTACTGGAGATATTTGAAAAAGAAGAATTCCTATCTTGCCAACTTATTATTTTTATTTCTGTCACTTCCGTTGTATTAAAATTCTGTCTAAACGTATTATGTGAAGAAGCAAAAATCACTACAAAAATATATATATAATATATTCCATTTAGTTAAATAATAATGTGTAATGGTTTGCCACAAGAAGTTATCCCTGGTTAGAGTGATTAGATGAATTCACAGATGAATATTGTTGTTAGGCTTTGGAATAACAGTGATAGATTCAAGTATCCAAGTGTTTAAATAAGTAATGATTATTTTATAAAAAGATTTATTTTAGATATATGTATATTGAAAGGTGGCATACGATTTTCTGGTACTCTTGTTGTTATAAATTAAAGTGTTTATAACGATAATGATAAAAGAAACATATTTAACGTTATATAAAGAAGTGAATAATGTACTTTTAATTTTATTGTATTATACATTGGTTTATTACGACAAGGTATTAAACATGTGTACCAATTTAAAAATGCCGTCGCCGGCTGCCCGTCGGCAAACATAGTACTTAAATTTTATTAGATCGCGTGGTAAAAGAAACAGTTTCATAATTTGCGGTATTTGTTAATTTTAATTATTGGTAACGCTTTGAAATTACTCTTAAAAATGTTGTACAGTTCAGAAGTAACGGTAATACTCCATTAAAAATATTGTTTGTGAAGTACACATTTACTATTTAAAGACATATTACCTAAACTTGCATACTACATGTTAATAACGGTTTTATTATTTCTTATATTATGTAATTCTTTATTAAATACGTTTTGTGAAATCGTTTTTTAAATTGATTTTTTTAAATTTTAAGGGTGAGGTTAAAATACATTTCGCCTTTTTATTCCTTAATTTTACTATTAAATTGGTGAAATAATAGCATCGCAAAATATTGTTTTTAATAACAACCAGTTGCAAAGCTAAACTGATACTTTTTAAGTACATATAATTTGACTTCGCATTTGCTATAACTACTTATACACACATTTGTATATGGTAGTAGTAAATAAAATATAGCCATTCAAACAAGTAAGAGAAAAAAATGGAGTACTCAAGTTCTTCCTTGACAACTTTTTCAATCTAAACAACTTGGCCAAAATCTTTCCAATAAGAAGAATAAATCAAAATCAAGGTATCAATCACTCACCGGTACACATTGAAGCAATAATTCACGGCACAAGCACTTTGCCTCATAAAATTTTTACACACTCAGTTTTAGATGCAACAAGCTAATTACAAAACTGGCTATTAAATTAAAACATCAATTAATTAGAAGGGGAGAGGCGAGCGGGCGCGAGAGTGCGGTGCTCACAACTGGTTTGGTGAAGCGATTGCGGCATACTTCATCCATAATTCAAATAAAACATGGGGGCCAAACCCCGCCCCTGAGGTACGCTGGCCAATAGTCTCAATAACACGCCCGTTGGACAACTCCCCTTGCCACAAGTTATCTCCCCTCTTTACCTAGTATAAAATAGTTCTATTAACCTTATCAGCTAATAAATATGTGCCAATAATATTATCAACGCAAGCTCTTCTCGTGGCGATGGCACATTATGTGGGCGCCAGATAAGATGCCATTTGAATATACATAAGCAATATTAATAATAATGTTTATGTTATGAGATTTGCCGTATTTCAGTTTATGTGTAGCAAACGAATTAATACGTGTAGGGAGGTAATGCCATTTTCTGATGATTTTTAGTATTTTTCATAATTGGTATCCATCATAATTCATTTGTTGATGGATTGAAGTAGGTACCAGGTTTTTCGTGGTCAAAGTTACTTAAGACCGAGTGTCTGGTAATGTGATTCATCAAAGAAAAAAAAAAACCTAATTAACTTGTCTCTTCTCAATTGTACATTTATGCCAACTCCAGCTAAAGTCGCAAAATCAAAATTCAATAAGTATGTTTCTAAAACATAAATAAATATTTAAGGTAACGATTCATCGGGTCCTTCGTCTCATCGTTAACAATTACTTAAACAAACTGTTATTATCTAGAAGAAAAGGAACAAAAAGCGAAACAGTGAACCTCAAAAACCGACAGGAAATGCCAAACAGACAAGTCACTTCAATATCAGTGCCAATATTTCGCGAAAGTGAGTTGACGTTAAGATAAACTGGACTGTCTCGGCTCCGGGTTCAATGTCGCATCAGTCACGAGCTTGGCCACTTTGGTCATAAACAACTAATTTGTTTTCGGACATTTTGCTTGATGACATTCGACTTAACCCTCGGCGATAAGCGACGTTTAAAAGGATATTCATTTATCGATTTAAAACGTGCTAATGGCTTATGTAAATATAGTAAACCAATAAAATAAATACTAATAATAAATAATATACTGATAAATGAGTATGAAGGAAGCAAAAAGGAAGAGGAAAATTTGGATATTAGTTACTCAAGTTATATAAAAATATGTAGTATAATTACATTAGCTATAATAAATTAATCTGAAAGATACTTTTCTAATTTGCTGGTTCCTTACATATCATACAGATTATGACGCGATTTTAGCCATAACTTCTCTCTGTTTATAAATGTTGACCAACAATTACAATGAGGATTTTTTTCCAATTTGTAGTTGGCAAAAAACTTGAGGTCGGTTCATTATTCTTTTGAGATTCCGCCGACCGATTTTGCGAAAAAAGCAGCCTTTCCGGAAGACACTAATGACAAGGCGCCACTATTTATTCGGGGCGCTTTTTACAAAAAAAAAAGGTGTTTTGTCGTAACCTCTCCATTTGTTCACATCATGAAAAATGTACTCTTATGTCAATAGCCTTAAGGGACAATATGATTTCGTTAATGGCAAATACAAGTTTTGCGGTTACCCTTTGTCGCAACACTTTGTCGCGTATTGGCGTCAGTTTATACAAGTTTGTGTGTAAATAACATAGTCGGATCCACTTACGGTGTGGCCCGGAAGTCAGAGTTGTCATCATGTGACGCGTTTGGACATTTTTATTTGTCGAGCCGTGAATGTGTCTTTCCGGTGTCGGCATCTCTTAAATTATAGGTTGCCATTTTTATTAGCGATCCGTCGCTTTCCTAATTTTGGATTCGAATGTAACTAGATTTTACGGTGGTAGGGCCACGCAGCAGCCTCGGCTGTTGCACGAATGGGCAGGCCTGTCCGGGTAAGTCCCACGACCTCACAGAAGACCAGCGTAAAGTGGATGTATGACAAATACTTTCACGTTTCGTCTGGTGAGTGAGGTAGCCGGAGCCCAATTTTCAAAAGGTTGTCAACGCATCTGTAACCCTCGGGTGTGGCAGATGTCCATGGGCGGCGGTATTGACTTTAACATCAGATGAACCGTCTGCTCGTTTGACAACTTTTCGCATAAAAAAAAGAAAGAAAAAAAAGTACCTGTAAAACACCATAACAATAACTAAAAAGCACTGCAAAACATAAATTAGAATCTTTATACCTATATGCCTTTTTAAATATAATGCTTTAAAAAATTATTGATTTGCATACTTGTAGCTTTCAATATTCCATA